AAAGTGTTTTGGCACAGGTGTATGGGGAGGGTGGGGGGGGTACAATTTGAGGGACCTGTCACTGCATTTTATTGGATTTGACAGACTTGGCAGAGCAGGACTCTGCTCTAAGCTTCTCTGCTGACAGGGTGCTTTGTTCCCATTTCTCCCCTAAAGCTCCACCTAGTATTTTTTTGTAGGCTTCATTCACACCTTTTTCTTTCCTTGTATCATTGTCTATGGCCTGACAGACTCTTCTGAGGCAGGGAGAAAGGGTCTGCAGGCCTGGAGGGAAGAGCCTACCCTCTTTTGCTAGAGCTGTGCTCTGAGTCCACACTCTTCCTGCAGTGGACTTATGTAAGACATTCATAGGACTTCATTTTCCAGTAGATTGAAAGCAAAGCCACTGTTGATTTTCTCCCAAATGATCTATTTGGAAGCGCAATTGTCTGGAATTACATGGTGGCACAGGAGGCCAGACCTTGCAGTAAATAACTTTCCTCTCAGTCATACAGGAGTCTGGCTGGCAGTGGGGTTCGGGCTGCAGAGGGCTGTGATTGAGGTGAGGTGCGTGTGTTTGTATGTACACGTGTGTGCACCCTTTTGGGACTTTTGCTCACCTCTCTGCCACTTCAGCTGCTGCTGGAGCTTTGTATCTGAAGGAGGGCGGGGGAGGAAGGGCTGGAATTGTGCTTCTGGACCTTGTCACTCCTTAGTTTATACAACCTCTCTCTGGCTCATCTTCTACACTGCCACCTCAGGGTCCTGGAGCTGTGTGAGGTCAAGTGACTCGCGCAGGCAGTGTATGTCAGGGGGTGAGGCACAAAGAGTAAGCTTTAGAACCAGGCATGTCTAAGTCCTAGTCCTAGTTGTGCCAATTACAAGTGATGGAACTTTGGAGGATTATTGACACTTCAGACCTTCTTTGTATACGTTTTAAAAAAGTGAACAAACAAACAAAACTGGCATTTGGTGTGGGAGTTGAGAGTACCTTCATCTCAATATTGTTACAAGAACTAAATGCAGTGGTGCTGGAGAAATCACATTGCACAATGACGGACACTTGGTTTGGTGTTTGATAAATGTTAGTTCCTTTCTGTGCCCTGCCTTGGCTTTCTTGAGAGATTGAAATGAGAGGAAAAGCAATGTGCTTCAAGTCAGGGTGGGCAAAGCCAAAGCTGTGAAACATGTACAGTTTGGCACCTTTTACCTCTTTCAATGTTGTTGTTGTTAGTAGCTTTCAAGATTGTTCCAACTTATAGCAACCCCAAGTATAACAGAATGAAACACCACCTGGGCCTATACTCTCCTCATAATCATTTTTGTGCTTGAGCCCATCATGACAGTCACTGTGTCAATCTATCCCATCAAAGGTCTTCCCCTTTTTTCACTCCCCCTCTACTTTACCAAGCATGAGATCCTTCTCCAGGGACTTAACTATTATGATAACATGAGCTAAGTATGAGAGATCAGTTGGCCATTTTTGCTTCTAAGGAGCATTCTGGCTGCATGTCTTTCAAGATAGATTTGTTCATTCCATGGTATTTTCAGTATTCTTCACCAACGCCAGCACTATCCATAACTCGCATATGTATTTTCCCCAAAGAAGACTAGGATGGACTCTTGTACGCTGTGGCTGGTGGGAGTTCATGCAGCACCACTCATCTTTCTTTGCAGGCTTGGGTGTTGCTAAAGTGCTGAACAGTCAAAGATTAGAAAGAAAGACCTAGTGGTAGATTTCTGAAAACCTGTCAATGAAAACCCTGTGGACCACAATAGTTCCAAATCACCCACTGCTGTCAGGTCAATTCTGACTCACAGATACCCTCACTGGGTTTCTGAGCCAGTGTATCTTTATTGAAGTAGATCGCCCTGTCTTGCTTCCATGGAGTGGCTGGTGGATTTGAATCACCAACCTTCTGGTTAGCAGTCAGATACTGTTCCGGTTCCTTAGTGCTGCTCTAACAAGAATATACCACAAATGAGATGCTTGAAGAAACAGGAGTTTATTCTCTTACAGTTTTGAGACTTTAAGTCTGAGTCCAAAATGCCAGACTCTAGGGGCTGGGTGAAAGCCCCTCAACCTTGGGCTTCAGCTCTGCCTCCTGCTCCTGGCCCACTGGAGCTAGAGGCTTTTCTTCACTCAGCTGCTGGCTGCTGAGACTGACAAGCCCAAGGCTGACAAATAAAAAGGCACAGTTCCGATGTTATCAAACAACACAACAGGCCATTAATTCAAGTCCATTGAATGTCCCAAGGCCGGCAGAGCATAGCAGGCTGCTGAACAATGACAGAGGTACATGTAGGATTCAAGTGTGCCATAAGTTAGAGACTGTTCCCCAAGGCTGCTCCTTATATACAGGAACCAGACCACATTCCTAAGGCAGCTACTCAGCTGCTCACGGTAGATTCCACCATGGAGTTGATTACCAGTCTCATCATGGGGAATAACCACTACCAGCTGCCCAGCCACTCAACCAGGCCAAGCCAAGTTGACACACAACCTTAACTACCACAGATACCTTAGGCACTGTGCTACCAAAGCTCCTTCACAATATTTTAGTACCTAAATAATCATGGGGACAGCACAGGACAAGGCAGCATTTCTTTCTGTGGTGTATGGGTCCATCGTCAGTTGGATGTTGACTCAATGACAGCTAGCAACAACAATAATGGTATCTAGATAGGGAAGCAGTTTTTAGATTACAAAATCTTACCACTTCCTCTGGCCATTTTTAAGGCCAGATGTATCTTGAAGGCATCAGAATGGGATTATGCTTTAGTTCAACTGGACATTTTTCTGTAAATTGATGGCATCTTCACATTTTCCCATCAATTTAAGCAAATAATGGAATCTAGCAAACTATGAGCCTCATTCTCAGGAGAAGATTTTCAGACTACCTTAGGAAGGCAATCCAGTGACCTACCTACCCAACATATATTGAAATGCTACTCCATAATAATAGTATTTATTAAGTATTGTGCCAAAATCTTATGTGTATCATCTTACTGAATCTTTGTCTCTTCTTTTGATGTATTTATTATTATTATTATTGTGTCATGGGGTAATATAGCATAGCAGTTAAGAGCAAAAGTGCTGGAGCCAGTCTTAGCTCATAACTCAATAGTTGTATGAGTTTAGGGTTGTGCTAGTACTGACAGTCTTTCAACTAGGCCAAGTCAAATAAGGCCCCATATGTTTCAGATGAAGAGAATGTGTGTCAGATGAGGAGGTGGTGACCAAGGTGTCCTCCTTTCACCTCTCCTGACAAAATGTTTATATTTCTACCATTAGAGATTTATTCTTTGGATGTTGATAGTCTTTATTTTTCAGGACTATTCAATTAAATTTCCAATATCCACAAGAGTATGAAACTTTAAACCTAAATCACATAGTGTCTTAGCTGGAAGTCTCTTATTCTTCCCTGTTCAGCTGTACCAGCCAGCTAACTATCTACCTGAAAGTGAATTCAGAACTGGAATGTAGGCAAGGTGTCTTGTGAGGAAAGAGAGTGGACAAGTTTTGCTAATTCATCATTTTGCCAAGGCCCAGGACTACTTTTTGATTTTTTGCTTAGCAAAGAACTACAGGAAGAAGTTCTGATTGAAATCAAGGTAGAACAGGGGGCAGGGTTCCAGCTCAAGAAAGAGAGTCCCACTCAACCAAGATAATCCAGACCTTGTCTTCTTTCCTTTCCATCAGTAAATATTTAGTGAGAAATTTACTAACTATCACACAGTAGTGCCAGGTACAGTGCCAAGTACTGGAAATAGGTAAAGTGTTTGCTTTTAAGGAGCTATAGATTGGCAGGGGGACAGATAAACAGGCCCTTACTAGATAGTATGAAGTATTGAACATCTATTCTTCCTTCTAGACCATTGGCTTTCAAACCTGGCCATTTGTTAGACTTTCTTGGGCACTTGACTGCTAACTAGAATGCTGGCAGTTCAAACCCTCTGGCCACTCCTCGGAAGGAAGATGGGGCAATCTACTTCCATAGTGATACTGCCTTGGAAACCCAAGGAGGGGTCACTATGAGTTGGGTCTGACTCAACAGTACATAACAACAACAACAACAGACAAAAATACCTATATTCAAGTTTCACTCCTCTCCCTGATATTTATATTTAATTGCCCTGGGATGAGTGTAAGGCATTAGTATTTTATAAAGCTTCCTAAGTGATTCCAAAAGCTGCTATTGTTGAGAATTATTGTTTTGAAACATACTGATTATCAGGACCCCATTCGAGACCAGTTAAGTTGGAATTTCTTGAGGGGCAGGGGAAGAATGTCCTTGTAATGACATCTTTTTTTTTTTTTTTTTTTAAAGTTATTTTACTTTTGTTGTTGAGAATATACACAACAGAACATATACCAATTCAACATTTCTACATGTACAATTCAGTGACATTCTTCAAGTTGTGCCACTATTCTCATTGTCCTTTTCTGAGTTGTTCCTCCCTCATGAATATAAACTCACTACCTCCTAAGTTTTCTATCTAATTTTTCCAGTTGTTTTGTCCACTTGCTCCCATACAGATAGACCTTAAAAGATCATAATGCTCACCATAGACATTCTTTACTAGTTAATTTAAACTATTGTTTGATTTTAAGAAGACTCCAGGAGATGTTGTTGTTGTTATGTACCGTTGAGTCAGCCCTGACTCATAGTGACCCCTCCTTGGGTTTCCGAGGCAGTATCACTATGGAAGTAGGATTACCCAACCTTCCTTCCGAGGAGTGGCTGGTGGGTTTGAACCTCCAGCCTTCTGGTTAGCAGTCAAGTGCTTTAGCCACTATGCTACCAGAGCTCCCAACTCCAGGAGATAGTAGACAATGATATTGTTAAAAAGTTTCTCGGGTGATTCTAATGCATAGCTAGAGTTGAGAACCACTGTCTTTCCTGCAAGTGAGATAGGGATCATGTCTAATTTAGTGTTGAGTACTCTCCACAGTATTTGACATAGAGAAGGTGATCAATAAATCATTGTTCTGTTGGGATTTATGATGAGCAAAGTAGAAGGTCCAATGTGAGCATAGAAGATGAATATTCAGTGCCATTGCAGGGGAGCTGAGACTCAAAAGACAAGTTGGATTTAGCCAGGCAAGGAGAGAAAGGGAGAATGCTTCTGGCAGAGGGAATAGCATGTGTACAACTTTAAGGAGCTGGACATGGCTCCCATGGCAGAAGAGTCACTTGTAGGTGGTGGGAGGGAAGGCTGGAAAGTTAAACAAGGCTTGGGTCATGAAAAACCTTTCAGGCCATGATGATGAGTTTGGGCTCTGCCAGAGGCTTTCTTGGAGTTCCTATAGCTATGGCTGTCAAGGCTGATTTTTGGTCTTGGTGTTCTAGAAGCAAGCTTAGAAACATGTGCTTTTTCTTTGAAGACTGAAGCCCAGGGAAGGTGTAATGTTTTGGAACTCTGGTCCCCAAGCTCACATTGGTAGAGGAGTATCAGCAAATTCCCAAAAACAGCACAAAATATTGTAACTACTTTACAATCCCTCACTTTGACCGCCATTATTAAGATTTCCCTAACTCCTTTTCCACACTTCCCCATCTCAAATGGACACCGAGGCAACTTAGCATGTCCCTCATTTCACATCCTTCCCCATGCTCATTTTAATCAGCTTTTACCTGGATGAGAAGTCTCTGGGCAGTGGAAGTGGTTAATGTGTTCTGCTACTAACTAAAAGGTGGGAGGTTCCAGTCCACCTCCAGGCACCTCAGAAGAAGGGTCTGGCAAACCCTAAGGAGCACAGGTCTACTTTGACACATCTGGAGTCACTGTGAGTTGGAATCAATGATGACAGCTTTTACTTTTTAAATAAACCTGGAGGGGAGAGGGAAGCAGAAAGTCCAGTGTGACTGCAGTCAGCTGGTGCCTCCTAGGGAGGGCTTTTCAGCAGGGGCGATTGCTGGCTGGGGAAAGAATCAAACCATGATTCTAGGGGTTGGTTCACGTTGTGTATCCCTTGGGTGCTTGCTTGTCCCAGTTGCGCCGTTGCCAGCAGTGCCCAATTTAGTACTCTCTGCAGATTCATTAACAGCCTGCCTGCTCCTCTCCAAGTCCTTAATGAAGATGTTAAATAAAATTTGACGTTGTTATTGCCATTTGTACAGCACTTCATATTTACCAAGTGCCTTCAGAACATTTTTATTCTTTTCTAAGCAATAGCCCCACGAAGTCAATTAGTGCTGCTATCCCCATTTCACAGAGAAGGCCCTTTGGTGGGCAATGATTTGTTGAGGGCCCTGTTACCAGCCACCCTCCTTTCCCCAGTGGGGATTCCTCTCACTCCTTTGTCTGGAACTCAGGCTCCTGGAGCTGCAAGGCTCCTCGGGTTCAGTCTGATGCCTAAAGCCCTTTTTCGAAATTCTAGGCTTTGCTTTCTGAATATTATTTCTCCTCTCAAGTTTTATGGTTTTATGCTTTCGGTTCAGGAAAGCCTTAGTCTTCTCTTAGTCAGTTTGAATTAATTTTGAAGTAAAAGGGATTGGTAGGCATCAAATATCTTGCTGACCATCCAAACATGCAGTGTTGTATGGAATGTTCCTTTCGTTCCTCCCTTCTCAGCAGCCTGTCAGCATCACTGTGTCTGTGCCTGGCATGATCTGTCCTTTGTAAACAATCACAGGGCAAAGAGTGCTGTTGTCTTTCTGGATGGGACAACCTCCCCTCTCATGGTAGGAAACTCCAGCCAGAGGCTCATGGTGACAGCATCTCTGGTGGTGACAGGCTAGAAGAGAAAATAAGCCTCATGAAGATGGCGGAGCTACTCAGCTTTGCTTCCCTGGGGCTTGTCTAAGCAGTTGCATAAAGATTGGTGAGAAGTTTATTAAACTCTCTGTGCCTTAGTTTTCTTACATGTTAAATGGGGATATTAATGGAAACATGAGTACGTGGAGGATTTTCTACTTTAACGATCCAAGCTTTTGGGGAGGGATTTTTTATGACACTGTTTTTGACTTCACATTTTTGAAACTACCCTGTCTGGCAAATTTTTTATCTCTACCATACTGCACTGAAGGAATTGGCCAAAAAAAAAAAAAAGACTTCAGGAATTGATGGAACATCCACTGACATGTTTCAACAAATGGATGCTGCACTGGAGGCATTTACTCATCTATACTAAGAAATTTGGAAGACAGCTACATGGCCAACTGACTGGAAAAGATCCATATTTCTATGCACTCCAAAGAAAGGTGATTACACAGAATGTGGAAATTATCAAACAGTATCATTAGTTTCACATGCAAGTAAAATATTGCTGAAGATAATTTAAAAATAGTTGAAGTAGTATACTGACAGAGAGCTTCCAGAAATGCAAGCTGGATTCAGAAGATGATGTGGCACGAGGGATATCATTGCTGATGTCAGGTCAATCTTGGCTGAAAGCAGAGTACTAGAAAGAGGTTTACTCGTCTTTTATTGTCTATGCAAAAGCATTTGATTGTGTGGATCATAGTAAATTATGGATAACATTGAGAAGAACAGGAGATCCAGAACACTTAACTGTGTTCATGAGGGGGCCATCATTCAAGCAGAATGAGGGGACACTGCATGGTTTAAAATCATGATGGGTGTGTGTCGGGGTTGAATCCTTTCACCAGACTTATTCAATCTGTATGCTGAGCAAATAATCTGAAAATCTGAACTGTATGAAGAAGAACATGGCAAAAGGATTGGAAGAAGATTCATTAACAACCTGCAGTATGCAGATGACACAACCTTGCTAGCTGAAAATGGAGATGACTTGAAACACTTACTGATGAAAATTAAAGATTAATCTTCAGTATGGATTACATCTCAATATAAAGAAATGGAAATCCTCACAACTGGACCAATAAGCAGCATCATGATAAATGGAGAAAAGATTGAAGTTGTCAAATATTTCATATTAGTTGGACCCACAATCAACACCAATTCAAGCAGCAATCAAGAAATCAGATGTCATATTGCCCTGAGCAAATGTGCTGCAAAAGACCTCTTTAAAGTGCTGAAGAGCAAAGATGTCTGTTTGAAGACTAAGGTGTGCCTAACCCAAGCCATGGTATTTTCAATCTCCTCAAATGCACGTGAAAGCTGGCAATGAATAAGGAAGACCAAAGAAGAGTTGATGCTTCTGAGGTGTGGTGTTGACAAAGAATGCTGAAAGTACCATAGACTGCCTGAAGAAGTAACAAGTCTGTCCTGGAAAATGTCCAGCCAGAATGCTCCTTGGAAGCGAGTGGCCACTTTGTCTCACCTGCTTTGGTCATGTTGTTGGAAGGGACCATTCCCTGGAGAAGGATATCATGCTGGGTAAAGAGGAAGGTGAGTGAGAAAGGGGAAGACTCTCAGCAGGATGGATCGACACAGTGGCTGCAACAATGGGCTCAGGTGTAGAAAGGACTGTGAGGATGCCACAGGACCAGGCAGTGTTTTGTTCTGTTGTGCATAGGGTCACTATGACTTAGACCCCACTTGACGACACCTAACAACAACAACAACACTATTCTATCTTCTTGTTGCCTTCTTTGTATATACTCTGGTTTTCATACTTTCTCTTCTTTTCTTACCTTCTCTCTCATCTTTGCTCGCTTTTTTCTTCCATCTTTTTCTTTATGGCAACATATTGCAGTTAATGGAAAGAGCACTGAGCTAAGAATCAGGGCTGTTAATCAGAAACCATGAAGGGTCTGAGACTGTACCCTGTCTGCAGGGTAACAAGTTGGCATGCCAAAGTTTTGCATATATACGTTGTTGATGTTGTTAGGTGCCCTTGTGTTGATTTGGACTCATAGCAATGCCATATGATAGAGTAGTTCTGTCCTATAGGGTTTTCTGGGCTGTAATCTTTACAGAAGCAGATCACCAGGTCTCTCTCCTACGGAGCTTCTGGGTTTGAACCATCAACCTTTTCATTGCCAGCTGAACACTATACATACTCACACACATATACACATGCACACATATGTGTTTATGTGTGTGTGTGTGTGTGTGTGGTTATTGTTAGGTGCCCTTGAGTCAGTTTTGACTCACATCAACCCTGTATACAACAGAATGGAACTTTGCCTATTCTTACAGCATCCTCACAATCAGTGCTATGTGGGAGCGCATCTTTGCAACCACTGTGTCAATACATCTTGTTGAGGGTTTTTTTTCCTTTTCTAGCTGACCCTCAGCTTTACCCAGCATGATATCTTTCTCCAGGGACTGGTCCTTCTGATAACATGGCCATTTGTGCATATGTGTACACACATGTGTATATACTGACAGAGGACCCAAAATACTTGGGTCAGAGAAAAAGTCTACTTATTATTCATGGCAAAAGCAGGAATCAGAGTAATCTGTTATGTCAGTTCCCTGAGTCCCAGTCACCACCACATGATACATGATGAAGGCCACATGGTGACTGTGTATGCTGTGGGGTATATCAAGAAGAGGACCCTCTGAATTAGGAAACTGTGGTCTTAAGGTCTAGGGTTGCTGGTGACCTGCCCATCCTTCCACCTTGAGAGAAACTTTCTTACTCTGGAATGAAAGCAAATCTCTGGGGAGGGAGGTGTTCTCTATTTTTGTTTTACTGATCATGAAACATACCTGACTTCTTACCTGAAAGACAATCTATCTTTGGCTTCCAATGATATTTACTATGCAACACTCTTGAAAAGATTTCAGTGCCCTTTGCTCAGAGGACCCATACCATGCCCAAAAGTGATCTATTCATAGAGCAGTGTCTCCCAACAAAACCCCTGGCTATAAAATGAAGGACTTAGAGAGATGGAAAATGTGGGACATGTGTACCATTACTCTCCAAATCTCCATTCTCCAAATCTATGCCCAAGATGGATATTAGTAATCAGTTGTGGTTTTCAATATAAAACCTTTTGGCAGTCTCTACTATAGTGATTATTACCCAGGTCTCTTCTAGCTATATCAAATCATATTTTTCAGATTTTGGCCTCATGCTCCATCTTTTCCTCTTTATGAATCTGTGTATCTATTTTTTTTAATTTCTATATCTCTCTAAGTGAGGAAAAAGGGGAACATTTCCTTTGAGAACAAATATCAAACTCAATGGTTTGATATTTTATTATGAAACAAGTTCTTAGTCCTAGCAAAGAGTTCCCAGTTTAATCTTTAACTCATAAATACTTTAACTGTTAGTCTAGAGATACTTTAATAACAAATGGAGATTAAGAGAAGAATGGTTACCCATCATTACATTTTCTCACTCAAATCCCTCTAATGTTGTGTTGGAACCTTCTTAGTAAGGAGAAGGCTTTGTAAGAAATATGGTACAGGGAACATGTGCTTGGAGAAGGGAATCACTCATCAGAACAGATGCATCTGAGAGTCTTTCAACTTTGACATTAGACCCATGATGATCTCTGGGCAGTTTCAAGATGTTCGATTTTTGTTTTTAGTCAATTTGGAGTCTGCCCCCAAGCCCTATAATCTCCCCTCATCCAATGTCCTATAATTTGACTTCTCCATTTATCCAGATGTGCATATATGTGGCTGATGTAGTGGAATTTCTGCTGGAGATTTGGTTACATCTTATTGTTGCTGAAATGAATCAAGAGAATAAAAGGAAAAGTGTATGATCTTTGCACAGGGCATCAAAAAATAGGGAATGCTGGTGAGCTATGTGACCTTGGACAAGTTTCCTAACCTTTTTGTGTCTCAGGTATCCTTTTTTGAAAATGAAGAAGATAAAGCCTGCTTGGCTATCTATCTCTTGGGGATATTGGCAGAGCAAATGAATTCATGTTCAGTGTATGAGGCGCTCAGAAGAAATATGCTGGTTGAATGTAAAGTTTCGCCTTCACTGAACTAAATTTCGCTACCATCCTGTTCTGCTCTGAACCTATGGAGGGCTCCTGCTGTTTCTTACCAGGCTATCTGATTCTGCCTTTCCTCCCCTGCCCCTGCAGAGTTACTTTCCATAATTGTCTATTGGAGGATTTGTGGCACAATGTGGGACATTTAGAGAATTGGGGTGAGTTCCGGTTTTCACAACTGTGAGGCCCCCTCACTTTGTTATTGATTGCCTGAAGGTGTGGAATGACAGTGAGGTTGTGAACAGCTGTTAGGATTTTACAGGATTCTGAGTTCTTTGACTCAGGAAGATACTTTCTGGTCAGGAGCAGATTGCACTGAGGATAACAGATCAACTCAGAGTCCTAGTCTGCATAAATGAGATGACATATGGAATCATGCCCAGGATACTACCCATTAGGACACCTTAGTGCGAATTTGGAAACTGGATGGTACAAACTGTTCATATCTCAGCTGCTAACAGAGGGGCTGGAGGTTCAAGACCAGCCAGAGGTACCGCAGAAGAAAGGACTCACAATCTACTTCTGAAAAATCACTTATTGAAAACCCTATGGAACACAGTTCTACTCTGACACACATGGGATCTCCATGAGTTGGAGTTAATTGGATGACAGTGTGGTTAGTGTGACTTTTAATAAGCCAGTCTGTTCTCAGTCAAGTTTCACAGCAAACAGTCTGAGATAGAGGTATCTGTGCAGGGCATTTTTAGAGAGTGTCTTTGGGATCAGTGGAGGCAAGAAAGAATGATTGGGCAGAGAGAGGAGTTAGGCAGTGTTATATCACAACAAAGACCTCAGCCAATTCCTTGGGGAACTCTTGAGCCAAGATTGCCCTTTAGAAGTGTCCTACCTTGAGGTGAGTGATCTGGGCCTTCATACCCCAATCACTGGAGGAGGGACGTTCCAGGGAAGGAGTGAGACCTTGGACCAAACAGCTCTCATTGGTTTATGGCTATTCCTAGAGAGAAACTCACCGGAAATCCCCCAGCGGCAATCACTCCCAGCAGCTGGGGCAATGAATGAGTACCTCAGTCCTAAAGGGGAGGATCTGTAGATTGCATTACTGACTCTACTGCAAGGAACCTGTGGTGAGCATAACTCTATGAGCTCTTGGCTTAGTGAATCAGTCAATGTGCAATTTTAGACCCCAGTTGTCTCTTCCACCAGACACAGTTGCACAGAGCAACAAATTTAGCAATTCTCTGAGAGAGGGGAGTTCCGTACAGATGTAAGAAATATTTATACTCTGGAAATTTGGAAATTAAAAAAAAAAATGTAATGCTTGTATCTCAGTTTCCTAGGGCTGCCATAACAAAATATCATACATGGGTAGCTTTACACAACAGAATTTTTTTTTTGCCTCACAGTTCTGAAGAACAGAAATCCAAATCATAGTGTTACCCATGTCAATTCCTTCTGAGGGACCTGAGAGAGGAACTGCTCCATGACTCTCCTAGTTTCTGGTGGCTGCTGACAATCCTTGGTGTTCCTTTTCTCCTTATAGATGCATCTGCCTTTGTTATGACATGGTACCTATCTCCCTGCTGTATGGACTCTGTTTGCATGTCTGGTCTCCCCTTTTACAAAACACCACTCACAAGCAATTGAGATTAGGACCCACCTTGCTCAAGTATGACATTGTTCAATATAATTGATAATAAAAGAAAAAGTCTATTTCCAAGCAAGGTGACATTCACAGGTACAGGGATTAACATACCTGTTAGGGGACACAATTCAATCCATAACTGATTAGAGAGTAGTTTAATACTTTACCATTTCTGTCTATCTTCCAGCAATGGGACAGAAATAGCAGATGGGGTTATTTGGATGCTTTTGATAATATTTTTCAGATACAATATTTATATTTTCTATGTCTAAGGCATTTGACTGCTAACCAGAAGGCTCGTGGTTCAAACCCATCAGCCACTCCTCAGAAGGAAGGTTGGACAATCTACTTGTATAGTAATACCACCTCAGAAACCCAAGGAAGGGTCACTATGAGTCAGATCTAACTCGAAGGCAGTGAGTTTGGTTAGGTTTTATGTTATAATATAAAGAGCTCTGGCAGTGCAGTGGATAAAGCATTTGGCAACTTGCCAAAAGGTTGATAGTTTGAGCCCACTAGCTGGTCCATGGGAGAAAGGTGAGGCAATCTGCTTCCATAAAGATTTACAGCCTTAAAAATCCTGTGAGGCAGTTCTACTCTGTCCTATAGGGTGATATGAGTTGGAACAGACTCAGCAGCAGTAGGTTTGGTTTGGTTGGTTATGTTAGAATACAGTCATGTTATTTCTAGTCTTAGATTCTGTTCTCAACAGATGCATAAAGGGAGCATATTCTTTTGGTGGAAGGAAAGTCACTGGGAATTGATCAGGCATGGTGGTGGCTTACAGAGAGACTTCAGAAATGTCTTTTGTTGATCCTTCCTGGAAGTTTCTCTTTCCTCCCCAAGCACCGTGTCACTGTTCTCATGAATTAAAGCAGGATTTATATCCATAAATTTGTATCTACAGGAACTTAGGAAGTTTGGAATCTCAAAGAGAAAGCTTTTTTTTTTTTTTTTAATTCTTTGGAGTAGAGATAGCTACTTGGAAAAAAAATTATGCATACTCAAAACTTTATTGCTAGCTTGGCTACTAAAATAATTGACTTAATGGCTGCTCTGTTTCATCTACCTGTAAGTACATTTACTTCACTTTTTTAATGGCCATAAAATATCCCCAAAAGGATTAATTTAGTCCTGTTCACCTTTGATGCACACCTTTGATAATAAGAGGGGTGAGTAAACAGTGTAAATGACTTAGACATCTCAGATAAACTCAACTGGAAGCCCTCAGCCAGCCAGGTACTCCAAAGCATGCTTGGTAAAGCAGTGGATGGTTTCTGCTGGCCAAATCAACACATTTATTGATGGTCCTCTGGAATTTTCTATTCTATTCTATTAGAATTCCAGCTACTCCTGCGCTTTCTTTGTTCCCTTCATTTATTTGAGGCAATTAACCATACTTGTCACCTGGGGCTTAAGGACCAATTTTGAAGAGCTTTTTGCATTACTTGTCTACAGCATCCCTTAGTTCATCAGTGAAATAGACAAACATCATCTTTGCTCTCATGGAGCTTACAGTTCAATGGGCAAGACAGATAATAAGCATACAAACACACACACACACAAATAAATACATTACAGTGGGATTAAATACAATAAACGTATTCTACTCGGTTCAACAATAAATGTACATGGAAACACCAGTCAAGAAATCAAGTGACATCTTGTATTGAGCAAATCTGCTTTAAAAGATCTCTTTAAAGTATTAAAAAGCAAAGATGTCATTTTGATGATTAAAATGTGCTTGACCCAAGCCATGGTCTTTTCAATTGCCTTGTATGCAAGCAAAAGCTAGACAAGGTAAAAGAAATTTCAAAATATTGATACATTTGCATTGCGGTGTTGGTGAAGAATATTGACTGTACCATGGACTGCCAGAGGAATGAACAAATTTGTCTTGGAAGAAGTACAGCCAGAATGGTCCTTAGAAGTGAAGATGGTGAGACTTCCTCTTGCTTTCTTTGGACACATCATCAAGAAAAAACATTTCCTAGAAAAAGAGATCACAGTTGATAAAGTAGTAGTTGTTGTTATTGTTGTCTTGTGCCATTGAGTCAATTCTGACTCATGGCAACTCCGTGAGTTACATAGTAATACTGCTCCACAGGTTTTCCTGGCTGTAAATTTTATGGAACATCACCAGGTGTGTTAGTTCAGTTTGTGTGTTAACTTGGCTAGGTCTGGTTGATTGGCTGGGCAGCTGGATATAGTATTCCCATCATGATACTGGTAATCAACTCCATGGTGGACTCTACTGTGAGCAGCTGAGTAGCTGGCTTAAGGATGTGGTCTGCTTCCTGTATATAAGCAGAAGTCTTGGGGAATGGTCTCTAGCCTGTGTTGTTGTTGTCGTTATGTGCCATCGAATCAGACCTGACTCATAGCGACCCCTCCTTGGGTTTCTGAGGCAGTATCACTACGGAAGTAGATTGCCTCTTCTTCCTTCTGAGGAGTGGCTGGTGGGTTTGAACCACCAGCCTTCTAGTTAGCAGTCAAGTGCCTTAGCCACTATGCTACCAGAGCTCCCTATGGCATGCTTGAAACCTGCAGGTAGCCATGACGTTGTTCAGCAACCTGCCATGCTCTGCCAACCTTGGGACTTTCAATGGACTTGAATTAATGGCCTGCTATGTGGTTTGGTAACATCAGGACAGTGCCATTTTATTTGTTAACCTTGAGCTTGTTAGCCTCAGCATCCAGTAGCTGCCTGAGTGAAGAGATGCCTCTAGCTTCAGTGGGCCAGGAGCAAGAGGCAGAGCTGAAGTCCATGGTTGAGGAGCTTTCACACAGCCCCTAGAGTCTGGCACTTTGAACTCGGACTTCGAACCTCCTGAACTATAAGATAATAAACCCCTGTTTGTTCAGCCATCCCATTTGTGGTATATTCTTGTCAGAGTGTCACTAGGTAACCAGAACACCAGGACTTCTTTTCTTCCATGTTGCCATGGGGTGGGTTTGAATGCCAGTCTTTTGGTTACAGCCAAGCACAAACTGCATCACCTGGGGAGTGTCAGCAAAAACAGGGAAATCCTCCGTAAGATGGATTTGCATTATAGCTGCAACGATGGACTCAAACATACAAACAACTTTAAAGATGGGACTGTACCAGGCAATTCATTCTGTTAAGCATACGATCACTCTGAGTCAGAGCTGATTCCAAGGAAACTAACAACATGAGTGTATTTGTGGGAGAGTTCTAACATACAATACCTTACTCACTGTCTTTGATTATTTGATCCTTTTGGTTTCCAAAACAAGCCCTCTGTCCCACTCTATTGCAAAGACACATATTCCAGTGGCACTGGCTAGGCACATGGAGAGGGACAGTGGGAGCCTAATGTGGTGATGCAAGCCTTCTTTCTCCTTGAACCATGAATTCACTCATGCATTTTGTCTCAATAATGCTGAGCCCTGGGTCTCACTTTCAGCACACATCAGTTGGTATTTTGATTGCCAAGGAATTTGAGGTAGGGCATTGAGTCAAACTGGAGAGCTGCACCCTGGTTTATGGAGTACTCTTCACTTCCGGTATTTACCAGACTGGGGATCTCTGGAAAGATGCCTGGTGGTCTGTCAGTTTGGGCAGGTTTCTCTTGCTTGCTTGCTTGCTTCCTGTGGCATTTGAAGATAATTCAGGTGAAGTTCACTCGAGGACTAGCCAGCCAGTCTACCTGCCCCCTTCCTTTCAGAACTCCCTCCCTCCTTCCACAAATATATGTTGTTGTTGTTGTTAAGTGCCGTCGAGTTGTTTCTGACTCATAGCGACCCCGTGCACAGCAGAACGAAACACTGCCCTATCCCGTGCCAGCCCCACAATCCCTGCTATACTTGAGCCCATCATCGCAGCCACCATGTCAATCCATCTCGTTGAAGGCCTCTCCCTCTTTCGTCGACCCTCTACCAAGCATGACGTCCTTCTCCAGGGAATGGTCCCTTCTGACAACATGACCAAAATAGGTGAGACAAAGTCTGGCCATTTTTGCTTCCAAGGAGCATTCTGGCTGCACTTCCTCCAGGACAGATCTGTTAGTTCCTTTAGCAGTCCATGGTACTTTCAGCATTCTTCGCCAGCACCACAACTCAAAAGCATCAACTCTTCTTCGGTCTTCCTTATTCATTGTCCAGCTCTCACATGCGTACCAGGTGATTGGAAATATCATGGCTTGTGTCAGGCGCACCTTAGTCCTCAAGGAGATATCCTTGCTCCTCAGCACTTGAAACAGTTCCTTCGCAGTTGACTTTCCCAATGCTACACGTCGTCTAATGTCCTGACTGCTCCTTCCGTTGGCATCGATTGTAGAACCAAGCAATGTGAATTCCTTGACAACCTCAACTTCTCTCCATTTATTGTGATGCTGCTCATTGGTCCAGTTGTGAGGATTTTTGTTTTCTTTATATTGAGACGTAATCCATACTTCAGACTGTATTCTTCAACCTTCATCAGTAGATGCCTTAAGTCATCCTCACTTTCAGGAAGCAAAGTTGTATAGTCTACATATCTCAGGTTGTTAATGATTCTTCCTCCAATCCTGATACCACGTTTTTCTTCATACAGTCCAGCTTCTCGGATTATTTGCTCAGCATATAGATTGAATAAGTGTGGAGAAAGGATACAACCCTGACGCACTCCCTTCTTGATTTTAAACCATGTAGTGTCCCCTTGTTCTGTTCGAATGACAGCCTCCTGGTCAAGGTACATATTCCTCATGAGTACAATCAAGTGCTCGGGAATTCCCATTCTTCTCAATGTTATCCATAATTTGTCATGATCCACACAATCAAATGCCTTCGCATAGTCAATAAAACACAAGTAAACATCTTTCTGGTATTCTTTGCCTTGAGCCAAGATCCATCTGACAACAGCTATGATATCCCTTGTTCCATGTCCTCTTCTGAATCTGGCTTGAACCTCTGGAAGTTCTCTGTCAATATACTGCTACAAACGTTTCTGAATTATCTTCAGTAAGATCTTACTTGTGTGTGATATTAATGATATTGTTCTATAATTTCCACATTCTGTGGGATCACGTTTCTTTGGAATGGGCACAAATATGGATCTCTTCCAGTCAGTTGGCCAGGTAGCTGTCTTCCAAATCTCTTAGCATAACTGAGTGAGTGCCTCCAATGGGGCATCTGTTTGTTGAAATATCTCAATCGGTATGCCATCAATTCCCAGAGCCTTGTTCTTTGCCAGTTCTTTCATTGCAGCTTTGACTTCTTCCTTCATTACCATTGGTTCTAGATCATATGCCACTTCCTGAAATGGATGAAGATCGATCAGTTCTTTTTGGTACAGTGACTC